GAGGAGTCCCGGCTGATTCGCATTTAATTCTGAAAACCCTCCCGAGTCGAAATACTCGGGAGGCGAAAGCCTACTGAGAGAGTGAAAAACCCTCCAGGATGAGAGTAAATTCACTTTACATGGATGATTAGGCCGTGAGGCTTAATATCCAGCCTGAAATAGTGGCTGGTGACGTTTGGCATAAGATACTCCTGGTGGACCTCGCCCACTCTACCGTGTCACACTGATGCTAGCTGGGCAACCCTTTGCCCGGCCACAGAAGTACTTTGAGTGGACGAGTTTGCCTCAGAGGCCGGTTTTCGTCGAACCTCCCGTGAAGGTTCGGCTGGCGCCCGACTATTGAGCGATAGAGACGGCTAAAAAGTAGTTTGGATTTTTCCTGGGTGACCAACCCGGGAAAATATCCTTACAATGTATAATTGAACCATTGATAGTGTCAAAAATGTATGATTGCACCATTGATAGTATTGATTAGAATTTGAAAGGATTCTTTAACATCTCTAGACCGGTGGTACGGAAAATCTTTTGCCAGCAAGTAAAGAGTTGGCAGGACATTTTGTTTCTCGAGATGGAAGAAAGTCAAATGTTGCGAAACATTGCACTGCGGAAATTAACTTAACATTAATGTATAATTGAATATTATTTGTAGGGAATGTCAACTGTAAAATGGATCTCTTGACTTCTTTTGCTAATAAAACTCTTTCTGAGATAATTGTGTGAATTGAAGTGATAAATGAAACTCAGATAAGACCAGAAAAGTAGATTCACAAAGTATTTATAAATATTTGAAAGTAAAACAAAATAAAAGATTATTAAAATACCTTCGGAGAAAATTTTATGGACTACAGGGAAAGTTTCTTCATATTTTTTTGGGAAAACCAACTATAGGGATATTAGTCGAATATATTGCGGGCCGGGGGCACCCACTTCAGTTATCTGAATTGTCAAACAGGAACAAAATTCACCCTAGAGTTTGAATAGCCAACACAGCCCGTATTTTTAGTAATCGGCTAAAAGGTTCTGGAGGGGATCTTTCTTTGAAATCAATTTTTGCAAAACAGCTTACACTCCATATATTTTTTCATGTATAGAACCCATCGTTGGCATATTTAAGTGATTTATAAATTTTTCATCTCTTGACGCACTTCAAATTGTCTTGAACCGTCTATCTATTGGTCTGGCTATTCTACTATTATTGTTTTTACAATCAAATACATTTCTTATCACCATACCTGATCCTGCAAATGATCCTCAATAGCCGTGGCCCCCAGCAGATTGAGCTTCGACTCAATTAACGAAGCAGCATCCTCCAGTTTCGCCTCTCTATCCGTCATCGTCACTTCAGCTTTATGATAAATCTCCCTCCACCAGTTGTACCTGTTCTCAGGAATATCTGCAGAAGCAAAACATAAGGTTCTCAATCCCTCCGTAGCAAATGCCTCCAGATGATCCAACGTCGCTTGCCTGAAGTCATCATCCCCATCGAAATCACCAGCATCCCCAGCCCTCGAAGCTAATCTCTCATAAATGACAGAATCCGCGCCTTTACAGAATATTTTAATCTGCCCTTCAGGTGTCCTGACTATCACCGACATTCTCTTCCTCGCAGACGTAAACTCAATGACATTGAGAATCTCATAGCGATATCTTTCCCCCAGTGCTTCTATCTCCACATAACTCGGGGTTCTCGTATCGAAGATGTAACCAAAGACGCGCGCCCCATCCACAAGAGCTCTTTCATCTGGAGAGGCTGCATGATAGATGATATGCCCATTCACTCGCTCAGGAATCACAGTATGACAGACGGACAACATCACCATGAACTCGTGAATGATCTCGGCATGGTTGGACTTTTTTTTATCATTCGATCTGGGATTATTTGCATCCCCTCTCCCCTCGATAATGTCCCGAATCAGATCACTGTCGGGTTCTCCAGAGCCTCCAGGAGCTGCAGGACTGGGTAAATCATAAATTCGTCCTGCCACTGAACATCTCTTGAACTCCATGACATTCCTCGTTAATGTTCCAGTCTTATCAGTGAATACGTAATTCACCATTCCTAGCTCTTCGTTCAGATTGCTGGTTCTGGCCATTGCTGGAGTGTCTGTCTCGGCGTGGTACATCTCAATGTCCATGTTGATGAAGGTTGCTTGAATGAACCTTACGACTTCGAGAGTCACTTGGAGGGAAATTGGGATCAGGTTGTTGAAGAGGATGATGAATGTGAGGAGATTGAAGGCGAAGTTCTTAGTCATTCCTGTCATGTTCTCTAGGCCCAAGTACCTGTGGGATTTTCAACGTAAGAAACCCTTTCAGGGATTAATGGGTTAACTATTTTTGAAGGTATTATCTCACTGCTACTACTATGTTCTACTTAGAGAATGGGACATCACAAATATTCCTAAGAAGTTGAAAACCATCTAGATAAAAGGATGTTTCAGACACAAACAGTCTCTGCTCGTCAAAAACTTTTAATTTGAAAAGTTCTCAAGTTGATCAAATTGAATATGAATAGCATTCGATGTAGGTAATAATAGAGAGTAAAATAATTGTTTCACTGCTTGCTGAATACAATCGTTAGAATTGTTGAAAGGAATGTAAGCCTAGTAGTGAAATAGTGATGTGAGAGGAGTCAACTTGGCCTCGAAAGTGAATTGACTATTTTTTTTCACCATTCAATTTTAAAAAATTTCATCAATTGCAGTGGATACTTGATTTTGGAAAAATTAAATTAATTGACACTAGAGATTATTTTATACTATATTATTCTATTTTATTTTTTTCGCCTTTTCCACCTTCAGGATTAGATTAAGTTAATTCGATTCATTCTTATTCTTGATATATATATTTTTGACAACTGTAAAACTGCATCTTTTCGAATAATGAAAGGATACCCATCAATTCGATTTCTATCCTAGTTTTTTGATAGAGTGATGAATGTAAAATGGCATTGCATAGCAAAAATCCCAAATTGGAGATTGAAAATTTTTAAAAAGTGATAATCGGCTAGGAAATGGAAATTTTTTTTTTCTCATGTGTGTGTGGAAACTTGGAATTACTGTCTTTTTCTGCAAATACGGAAAGGATGTGAATATTTTCAAGTTTTATGATCTCATTTTAACGAGAAGAACTGAAAAATACAAAATAACGTGGGCGGAAAGAAATAAAAAATTCAAATTTTCGATGTCTCCGGAAAGTTTTAAAATCGATATAATTTTTCGAATAATGAAAGAATACCCACAAATTCGGTTTCTATCCTTGTATCCTGGTTTCGATAGAATAAATAGAATAAACAACAAAAATTAAGAATTGGAGACTAAAAATTTTGTCCTATTATTATTATGTAATAATAATCAGTGTAGTATCAGATAGTCGATACATAATTTCCCGGAATTTATTGTGACTTTGTACTGAGAGAAAAACGGATATTTACGATGAAGTTTATTGTTCCAAGAATGGTCCAATGCGCCTCAATCTTTTAGGGGTCTCCTCAGTACTATATATTTAGGAGAAACATCGCGAAAAAGCTTAGTTCATTTTTCTGATTTTCGATAACGGATACCTCGAAAATGGAGTCGTTCAAATTCTTTAAATTTAGAGCATCGTTTTTTAATATACCCAAAAGCAGATTATTTAAGAGGATGATCCCAATTATAAAGTACTAAAGAACCCAAGGATAAGCAAATTTAAATAGAAGAAGATGGGGCATAGTTAAACGTTTGTCACCCAGACACAAACACCTAAACATAAATTACGTTTAAGAAATTGTTTTTTACACTTTCTGAAGCATATTTTGCGCTTGAAGTTGAAGCGTAAATTAGACTAAAAATCGCCGTAAATTAGGCTTATGTAAACGTAAATTACGATTATTTCTTCCGTTTTTTACGTTTACTCATTGCTAATTCACGATGAAGGAAAAAAAGTTATTTCAAGCGTAAAATACGATGTTTTTTCGTAAGTTACGCATAAGTAAATCGTAAAATACGTTCCTAGTAAGATCGTCATTCACGATTTCTTAAGCGTGAAAAATGCTTGATGAAACGTAAAAAACGCTTTGTTTGGGCGTAATTTACGTTTTTATTTTGTCCGTAAAATCCGCCTTTTTGAAACCTAAATTCTAATTCTCATGACGGAAAAAAGCCACCAGACATCATATTGGCGATAAGCGTGAATTACGTTTAGTGTTAGAAATCCGACCCACATTTCTATAAGAATCGATTCGAATTAGCCAAAACTAACAAATATGGTCGGTCATTCAAGATCGTGAAAATTCCGGAATTCCGAACTTGACCGAGGGGCCGACTGGCGAACGCTATCAAATCTGAAAAGTCAGTAATAAACCGTACTCGTAACTGAACCCACGTCGTTCGTTATCATCAAAATCACGCAGAAAGTCAGCACGGAAATCAACAACTATTACCGAACGTTATCATCTGAAATAAACATACAGTCCACTAAATAATCGAAGCTCAACAAAATAACGAAAACTCAACTATTGTAAATAGTGTAAATATCCTCACATTATATTAAATTCAATCAGAAAAAACAACGCGAGTTTAATAATTTCAAACACCACCCGACCCCGGCCATCATTAATAGAAATTAACATCCTATTTGTAACATTTAGCAAAACGTAATTTACGTTTAGGTTTTTCGATGTGTCGGCTCCAAATCCCAATATAAGGGACAGTGGGATAAAACGGCCCCTTTTGACTTTTTTTGTGATACTCATAACTCAGAAACAAATTCATTAATTGAGATCAGTCTAGACTCATTCTAAAGGGGAAGAAGTGTAGTTTCCATGGAAAACAAAATTATTTCATTTTATTTAAAATTGAATGAGCTGTGAACATTTTTGAAAAATCAAAAGGGGCCGTTTTACCCCACTCTCCCCTATCTGTTTATATACAGAGATATCAAGATAGAGTCTGTCACGAACGCTTCACTTTACGCCATTCACCCCTAATTATATCATCATTAATTCATAAAATCTCCATGAATATTAAAATCAGTAATATTATCCACTATTTTTGTAATGGTAATATTCTTCAAACCATTTTTCATTAATTTGATAATCAATAATATCCTTCAGACAATTCTCATTCCTTCCACACTGAATAATATTCTTCAGAACAATTTTCATTGCTTAGGTTTTTAGTAATATTTTCAACTATCATTACTGAAATAATATTTTCTGCACATCCCCAGAAGAAACCCCTCAATTAGTCTTATCCAAATAGATTTTTTCTTTTTCTCTCCGTGTCAACTCTGATTATCAAGAGCTTGAGAACTCGACAACGTATTGGTATTTTTTAGATATTTCAAACATCCCATTGTTTTTAGCCGCTATTGAGAGTGAATAACATGGTAAGCTATCATTTATTTTGGAAACTAGGGGGCTACGTTCCCTGTTTGTTCCACTCGCCAATCCCCATATGATTCCCATGATCCTTATTCTGACCCTTGTTAGACTTTATTATTGTGACCCTTAGTTAGACCTTTAATCGGACTCTTGTGAGTCTTAATCTTGTGACCCTTAATCTGACCCTCGTGACCCTTAATCTGATCCTTGTGACCCTTATTGAGACCCTTAATCTGACCCTTGTTACCCTTATTTTCACCCTTGATCTGACCCTCATGACCCTTAATCTGACCTTTATGCCACTTGTTCTAACCGTCATGATTCTTATTTTGACCCTGATGAGCCTTATTTTGACCCTTGTGACCCATAATTTTGGAGTCTTAATTTCGAGTACCAAATTTTCATCACCAGAAGTCGATTTGGATTTTTATAGTATCGAAAAATTGCATGCAAAAAGATTAATTTAATTACATACCACAGGCCGCCTTCATTGGCATTCGTCCACAGTACGTTAAAAATGGCGGACACAAAGCACAGCAGTAGAAGGATGAAAAAGAGCATCAGCACTTGGGTGTTCGTGAGACGATCCAAAGTAGATCGTTTCAGTGGAGCTGTTGTCGTGTTGTTCTGCATGAGTTTCGTGTCGTGGCCTGTGTAGACAACCACCCCAAAGGCCCACCGCGTGTTTCTGAGAATTGCACCACGCAGGAGGAGTTGGTCTGGGCCCAGTGCAACATGCTGCTTGTTTGTTTCACGAAGAACACCCATGAATTCGTAGAGGTGACGGTTCGGGGGCTCACACTGGATGTTCGCCTTGAAGTTCATGAGCTCCACTGTGTCCAGCAGCATTGCTATCTCGGGGTGCGCCTGGCGGATCTTGAGGTTCGTCTCACCATCGAGGTTGGCGGTTTCTATGAAGGACATTCCCTGGGGCTCGGATGACGAAAGGAGGATCAAATCTGCTGGGAAGAAATTGTTGTTGTGCACTTTTACGACGTCACCTACGGCCACCGATCTCCACTGGATCCACTGCCATTTACCGTCTCGCAAAACTTCTACCTCACGCATATTTATCTCGTCATCTGCTCTGTGCCTTTTCTGTAATGAGACGTATTGCAATTAATTCAGGTAAAATAGCCCGAGAAATGTTTCTGAAAGAATCGAGAGTTTGTTTTAAATATTTTAAGAATAATTTTTCTGCCTATTTTACATGAATGGCGCAAATTTTTATATTAAATCAAACGAAATTAGCTGTGTAGGAGTCGAAATTCAAAAAAATAATTCGTAATTGCTACAATACACATTTTTTCAAAAATTTTGAAAAAAAACTCTGTAGCGATGGTCAATGCATGAGAAATCTCACTCCAATAGCCCCCGACTTTAAAAATTCATAGTATTCTCCCCTTAATCGGATTATGAAACTGGAAAACAGAATTTCTGCAGGTATTTCGTGAACCACAAAATTTATCAGGGTTGTCAAGAGAGCATCTTTGTAGAATCTATTTACTGCAATTTCATACATGCAATATATTGTGTTACAAACGCAAATAGTTGTGCTTTCTCGCAAATGGTTGACATCTATTGAGTTTCCTGTTCGCAGCAGTAGTGAGGGTAAAGTGATTGTTTTTGTGTCCTCTAAAATTTAAGCACACTAAACCACCACGAACAATGAACTTTTCAAACAGGTATTACAAGAAAAAAGATGGTTTTTGATTAATTGTTGAGGTGAGATTGAGAAAGGGATGTACATTGAGGGGAGAAATCATTTTATCAATTGCAATTTGTTGGAATCAACAGTACACTCAGAGAAAAACGAACAAGTTCTCAAACAAGTCTTGTTTGAGCCAACAAAATCGTTAGTTGAAAATTACCAAAAAAATAATTGTTTGGTTCGAATAGGAAAGTCTTAAACATGAATAATTGCTTTGCTTTCAACAACAATGAAATATTTAGCTCAAGAGGCGGATCATTCATACAAGGCGGTGGGGAATAATACTGTTTGGAACAACAAAATTCATTTTCATATTATTGACTTTGTGATTCACTGCCCCTAAAATCAAATTTTAAGCTTGATTAATTATGCTGTTACGAAGGAAAGAAATGGCTTTAGAAGAAAATAGACGTCCTTTTCTGTTACCTGACAAAACTTCCAAATAAAAAAGTCTTATGATTGTTTTTTGGTATGTGTCGACCGACCAATCATGGAATAGAACCATTGTGCACATCGGCCACATTGGCTGTTTCCAAATTCGAAAAAGTGGAAATCACTACGAAAATAGCAGGTTTCGATACGAGTCCGTAAAACTGTTTCTTAACCAAACATCAGAGAATGCTGTTCTCACGAGTGTCGAACTCTATTTTTCATCACAACGTGCGAAAAGTGATGAAATTTCGCGTTACGCACAAGTGATGAAAAATATCGTTCATAACTAGTGTCACGGGGTTTTTCACCCGCGTAATCGCAGGAGGTCTTTTACTTCTCACGAGTAAAAAAACCTCGGAACCCGCCATATAATTTACTATTGCACAATGGAAATTTTTCATCGCAGGACACTTCAAATGCCTAGCACAAATTTCAAAAATTAGATGATCATCAACCTGCTAATTTTCCTTTGTAATACCTAATGGAAAGCTCACTTTTCGGGAAGGTATAGTGTCCGTGAAGTGCTTGTTTCCCGCACGATGTGCGTAAAGTTCAAAGGTATTGCGTACTGTGAATCCTCTTCGTAAAGTTTTGCTTTAGGTACCCGAAATCCACTTTTATGCCACTCATGCCTGAAACCGGCTGAATTAGACACGAGACGCGAAGCGTCGAGACATAAAATTTTGTTCAGTACTTGTTGGGAAATTTCGTCCTTCACGTGTGTGGTTACATCACTCGCCTTTGGCTCATGCTGTAAAGCCCACACCCGTTAAAGACGATATTGCCCCACATGTACTGAAATATACTATTCCTCAACTTGAGTTTTACGCCCCAAAAAGTATAACTTTACGTACAGTCAACATAATATACTATTTCGAAGCAATACTTAGAGTGAATGCACATGGAAAACATAATCCATCCGGAGACGCATTCGTATAACCAATCAAACTGCAAGTTTTTTCAGACAATTTTATTTGCTCGATTTTGATTGATTATGGGAGTGCATCTCTGCGGGGCTTCTATTCCATGGGCATTCGCCCTGATATGAGATTTTTCTTCACTACCAGTGTATGACTCATTTTCTCCCTATTTCAATTATTTTGTTCGTCTTCACTCAAGTACATGACATAAATGGAGAATAATGCATGTGTGATTGTCCCGCTATTTTAATCAACTTCTCAATATCTGCATGTTTGAGATTCTTATGAAATAATGTACATGTTGTTCTAGAATTCCCTCCTTCCCGACATCCATACATTATTGGACTTCATAGATTGGAAAATTTACATATCTATTTTTCGATAGGAAATTTCTATGGGAATAGAGTGATGGAATGAGGAAAAGCAATTCAATGCAGCGGAGAAAGATCGAATGTGTGGGGAAAATAGTATATGGAGGGAATGCTCGGATCCAAGAGGAAAAGCGTGATGTGATGCTGAATCAAATAAAGGGGTGAATACGTGAGACATCAAACAGAATATTGCGAAGGAAATGGACCGAAAAATCAAGTATGAAAGTATGTTAGCACAAAGGGAAGGGAGAACGATAATAATAAAATCTGTAGTAAAATGACAAAAGGGCAAAATGGTAAAGTCATAAAATCCGGTGCCAAATTGCAGTATGAGAAGTTTTTGAGTTTATTTTAGTACTCATTCGTTTCATCAGTGGACTATCTCGGTAATGCCAGTACTGCCGGGAGGAATCATCAATGGTACATTAATGTACTCGCTGGGGAATAGAATTTTGTAGGAATGTTAAGATTACTAATCGTGCTGGAGGCGAGTCTGTAATCTCATTCATTAAAAATGCTATCTTCCAACGAATGTTTCATAACAGTCACGATACACCGTGGAGGGAAGGCGTGCCGTCTCGTACATAGTGTCGTAAAAAAACTTATTGTACAGAGTTTTATGTACACAAGAGCTCTCCCGACGTTTCCCGCGGGACGAATTAGTCCCAAAGAAGTTTGCGAAAGCATCTCGATCTATTTGTTTTACTCATTTGTCATCAAATTATATTTACGATGAAGGATTTTATGGGGAATCTTGCGGCAAATTTCATGGGCTATAAAACATACTTTTTGAAATTTTTCTCTGAACCCACTGATTTCAGAGATATTCGCAGAAAAATTTGAATTCTGTTCTAATATTCGTTTCACTACTAACGTATTAGTTATAAAATAATCTCGGTGGAGAGAGATTCCGGAAGAAACCATCAGAACACCTTTTTTGCTGATAAATACTCCTCCCTTTTGAGATTCATCTTTATTCTCTTAAAGCCATTCATTCAAGAGATATTGTTGCCGAAAAAATGTAGTGAAACAATTTATGGTCATTGTCAAGGGCTCTGCTTGGCTTAGAGTTGCTTGAGTTATGTAGTCAGCTGAATAGTTCAATTACTCATAATTGTCACGTACTCATACTCAATGAATTTTGGAAATAGTTTAACTACTCATTGATTACTTCAGCAGTCTGATGAAACAAAAATCATTAGAGAAATGACATACTTATAACAATTTAATTAGCATTGTAATTATTTTTCCAACATTCCTTCATCTTCTACTACATTGTTTTAGTATTTGTCATTGGTGTAATGTACAGAAAACTATAGCGAAAGTCAAAATGCTTCGATATTTACCATTCAAATTATTAATGTTGTGGTCCACCTACATTATTTTTTAATATAAAAAAGAAATTCATTATTTTATATCCGATTATCCAAATAATCGTCAATCTTCCTAACTCAATTACTGATTAATGAATAATTCGAAATTTGACCATTTAAATTGATGATTACTTTAATAATTAAAATTTAAGAGTGATATTAACTAATTGACTACTTAATAATTCAACAGTCATTATAATTTATGGATATGGCTATCCCTGGCGACGAATAGTGAAGTTTTCTCGGTTGGCCCGGGAAAATTTACTAAACGTGAAGGTAATTTGTGCCGAAACTGTAAAATTGACCCTGCATTCCATCAAAAATTATCCCAGTGAACGTGAATGATTGCTCAATATTGGGTATAACTTTTCTGTAACCGAATGATTTTTTAGAGAACGCGTTCGGTAAAATTTCACTTCCATTCGTCCCTATGACCTTCAGATGGGTGGAAGAAAAAAAATATCCTACCGATGTGGGAAATTTACTGTACAGGAGAATAATTTTTACATCCACAGATTATTAGTTATTATTTTATCGAACGAATCGTAATATATCGTCCACCAACAGGTATTTTTTAATTGAATTACATTTCGCTCCACGATTACCTTTCGTATAGTAAAATTGGCCAGGATTTTCTAGGTAATTTTTGTCCACCTTTTATTATTAATCCCGTGTATTATTTTGTTGGTTTAGATATATTTTTTCAGAGCCTGATGGAGCTCAAATAATTAATGAAATATGAGTTAGAATGAGAATTAGCTAAATATTATTTTTATTTTCTTCAACAGTCTTTGAAATGATTCTGGATGTTGAAATTGATTTCTGAGAAAACTTACGATATCTTCAACAATTTCCTTGAGCGCCGATACACTGAGGATGAAGATAAGTGGAACGACTGTCGTCCAACGTCCAGTGGGTGAGACATCAGGGATTTGCTGTTGGCAGATTAAACAAATACCATGACCATTACCGTTACTGCTGTTTCAAGTTTCACGTCACTGATAAATCAAATAAATCACTTACCTGCATCAGTGCAATGAAGAGGAAGAAACAGTTGCTATATCTCCGAAACTGCTCGAAGAGGAATGAAGGGATGAATGAGAGTAATGAGTACTTAGCCGTTGTAATGTGATTGTTTTTGTATTTGGCTGGCTGATGTGGGGCATTTATGAATACTACTCTTTCCTCCTGACCGTCCTGATCGGGGGGACGTCTGTCGTCACCCTGGGAGCCTCCATTCTCTGCTCTACTTCCAACTGCAATCGAGAAAATTACGTTTGTGATTCGTCTCAGGGAGAGTAGGAGATTGTAGAGTCTCAGGGGATTTCTTTTCTTATTAAAGGAATTCGATAGTCTCCTTAAGTGATTGAATAGATTGATCATTGGGTGGGTTAGCGCTGTGATGGAGACGATGGTTTGTTTGTAATTACTGTGAAGTTAGCGTGGTAATGACTTTTTTAGATGAATTCTAATGAAATGGTTTTTTTGTTGTTATGCAAATATGCCAAATGAAAGTGGCGTGGGGTATAACTGTTCAGAGAACTTTTTTGTAGCTGAGAAAATTCCCTACATAAACGGTTTCTACCATTTTCTTCTAAAATTACTGATTACTTGAACATTTCCATTTTGTCGACTTCTTCATTGTTTTTTTTATCTTCATTATAACTGAAAAGCTCTGTTAAAGACATTTTAGGGAAAAATCATTATTGCCAAGAAAATTTGCAACATGAAAAATCTGGCGTGTTTTTCTCCCAAAATCGTTCATTAACGAAATTCTTCCGTTTCATTAACTGTTCATTCATTCAAGACATTTTTTGTAGTCACAATTTTCAATCATGAAGGTCCTTCACCATTCCCTTTCAAAATCTATATTTATCAATATATTTTTTTTATATACTTAATTATGCGATTCACCTCCTCAAACTAAATTCTAAGCTTGATTAATTATACCTTTATGTAGAATGGGTTTAGAAAAAAATAAGTCCTTTTTCTTAGCTGACAAAATCCAACTAAGATAGTCTTATGACTTTCGGCTAAAACTCCTCTGTACAGAGAGAAAAAATTCCTAGAAGAATTCATATGTCAGCACCATGAACAAGGTGCAATTAACACCCTTGGGACAATTATCTTGCAGCACCAGAAAAAATACTGCGCGTTCAGAAAAATTTCTTAGCAATATCGGAATAATTATGGCGCTTCGCGTTAAATGTTTCTGTTGTTGCAAAATATAATTTCTGGTGCTACGCGATAATTTTTCCATCAGTGAATATTGCACCTCGTTTATTCTGCTGACACATAGGGGAGGGTGGGGCAAAACGGCCCCCGTTCAATTGTCAATAACTTGTGAATGACATTGTGAAAATTCCCAGTTTCAACTTCATTTTGAAGATAATTTTTCATTCTTCAAAACGAGCTCTAACTCATCCCAATCGGATTATTGAATCGGAAAATATTGACGATTGAAGGGGGGCCGTTTTGCCCCATCCTCCCCTATTTTGTTATCTTCCCGACCCGGAGGGAGGAAGTTATTGTAATGATCCCGAAAATGAACGTGGAAATTTTATCATATCTCCACGTTTCATGACTCCTCGAATCATTCTATGTTGTTTTGAACACATGTCTGTCTGTATTTGTGTGTGTGCGAATGTATGTGATGCAAAATTTTGGAACACGATTTCTCTTGAACGAACGGTGCACTTAAAATTTTTTTTCGGTCAATGCATGTTCATGTAACTTAGAACTGATTAGTTGTGAAGCCTCAGCGGTTCTTTAGTAATTTGCAAAAAACATGTGAAAAAACATAAAAATCATGTTTTTTTCACATATTTCACTATTTCTTCCAAAGTAATGATGCGCTGTGAAATTTTTTTCTCAATCGATGCGTGTTAATGTAACTTAGAAGTGATTAGTTTATAAAAATGATCGTCTCAGCAGTTTGTTAGTTACTCGCATTAAACTTGTGAAAAAAAATGAAAAAGTGAGTTTTCTCTGAGAATTCAACAATTTTACCGAGAATAATGATGAGATATGATTTTTTTATACGATCGATGCATCTACATCACTGAAAAAATTCCGGTCTTATTCGAAGATCGATATGTTCGAATCGTAAGACCGGAATGTCTGAATTTCTACGGAACTGATTGCTATTATTTTTAATTATTCCGTGTTGATTGTCAGGGTAGTAACGGAGAGGGAGAGCCCTATCTTAACATTTAAGATCTGATCAGGGTGTTATTCCTATAATCAGATTCATGACCGATCTTAAAGTGCGTAACATCGCATGTTAAGATCGGATATTGATCTGATTGTAAGATTGTTTACCGGACTGACGATCTTAGATCTTAGTTTCAGACTGCTCGTAAGACCTGAGTTTTTGCAGAGATGTCATTCGATTTTGATTGGATGCTGAGCAAAATCGTCTCAACAAATTTCTCGTTATTTTTCCACTAAACAGAAAAATTGAAATAGGTCGGGAAGTTATTGGTTCGATCCATAATGGGTCACACCCTCTTCAGCGCACACACAATGGGAGCGAGCGAAGCGAGCGACCAACAACCTAGTCGATTTTTTTCTAGTTTTTTCTCCATGTACCAAGATGATTTAACCAAACCCTTCAACGTTTGGTTATAACCCAAAAATCCTAAAAAGTCTCGAGACTTAAACTCCCTGGAGTGAATCGATGTGTAATTAAGAGTCTTTAACATGTTCAAAAGGTCAATCTTCATCACATGACTAATCTAATTTTATCGACGCTAATTTAACTCTGGGAAATGACTTCCCAGTGGGTGGAAAACTATGAATAATTCAATCCGTTCGGCTGCATCAATGAATACCATTAACGTAATTCCATCGCAATGATACCGAATTTTGCTCATGAATGTTCCTTATATTGGCAATGACCTGGAAGACCAAGGGCTTTTTATAGTAGAAGGGGATCAATAACACCCGATTAAATTCACGTGAGAGAAGCATATAATCCGATAAGTAATAATGATCCCTCTAATTGAACGTGAATACGAAGAATGTCAGCTTGCTAAATGATTCTACAGTTTTCTTGTGACTTGGGAATTGCGAATCCGTTCAAGTGTACAGAGGGAGTCGAGTCGGAATGGATCAATGAAATGTCAAGAGGCATCGTCAATTATATTTGCAAATAGCAGTCAGTTAAATGTGGAGTGGTAATAAGGATTCATCAATGAGAGGTCTAGAGGGACTTGAATTTGTTGGGTTTACCTCGGAGTGATAATGAAATTGCAGTTCGAGAATAAACGCGCAGATGTCAAGTTAATGGAAATTATTGTTAGAGGGCGTCAGAGTTTTTTTTTCATGATTTTCTTATGTACCTTCGTAAAATCTTTTGGATATGGATGAAATTCAGGAATTGTTTTCGCAACATCTCTCGAGATAGTGGGTTCAGAGAAAGAAGCCAATTAGTTTCTTTAGACATTCGACTCTATAAAAAAAATCTTCTGACGTTTCAGGAAACTGATTCCTTTTGAAATTGAGTAATTACTTCAATATTCGCAGAAAGACAGTAGAAAACATTCTGGGTCAATCATTAAAATCTCTTTAGAAAATGATTCTGTAGAAATTTTTGTCTAAATCCATTATTTCTGAAGAAGACATTATGTTAGAGAAATAAAGTTCTTTGATTATTGTTCAAATATTTGTAAAACTATCAAGTTGAGAAAAAACTGTAAGATTATCTCGCTTGCCAAACTCGAAATTTTCTATGAAAAAATAGTTTTGACGTTTGTTCTCTGGTATTTTTCTTCAGCAGATATTCAAACGTTTCAATTTTAGGCAGATTTATTCTAAATTTTTCACCTGAAAGTCTTTTTTCAACTTCCAATTTCATTATTTCGCCTTGAATATCAAAATATTCTCTTGAATAAGTCCTTATTCAATGAGTTTCCTTTTTCCCGTGCAAAGTTCAGCGGCATCCATGATTTATATCACTGGATCTCTCCAAGAATTTAAGAAATCGATAAACAAATGTCAACTTTCTTCAACTTTTGGATTCATGAGAACAGAAAATTTCAGAGAACAACCACTGCCACATTCACCCAAAAACTTACTGTTCTGTCCATCCAAATAAATCCTGCATCGTGACCGTAATTCATCGAACCTCCTTATAGCTCGATTCCTGATTAAATCCATGTCTCCAATATATTATTCCCCAACAATGCCAAATTCATACGACGACATTACACCTCCTGTTCCTGGCCTGCCAGCATAGACTGTTCATTCCACTCATTTAAAAAAATTCATCACGGATGTAACACCAACCGCGATAACCCACCGATAAAACGCCTCTTCCTCTCCTTCGCCAGTTTATAACCGACTCCCAATGTCTATTTTTCCTCAAGAATTCTGTTAGAAATTTTCTCAAAAGTCTCCTCAGCTTTATCGATTTGATGACATTTACTGGGCTTCAGTGGGACTGAAGTTCACGAAAAAATTAGAATACTGTTCGTTTCTCCATTTTTCTGACTGTCAAGGTCACCTCGTAAGCTTAAAATTTCCCTATTGAAGTTAAAAATAAGAAGAGTACTTTCAAAGCTCATTCACTGCATTAGAATGTAGGTATAAAAAATACTGATATAATAGTTTGGTATTGGGTTTAGGTGCCAATTAATCAATCACCGATGAAACAATACCTCATCCAAGTCCCTTTAAATATGATGACATAATTCACAGTTCAAAAGAGACAATAGCTTCCTTATCACTGAGATAAACTTTCTAATTAAAATTACATTATCTCAAATTAAAAACTTTGACTGTTCAATCCACTGATAAACGACCCAGGACAAACTTTTAATAAATAGCAAACGTCCGAACGCTCAATAGATCCAAGCTCGACGACATAAAGACGTTTATACTCCTAAACGATGAGCTGTGGGTGTGACTTTCCCGGAAAGATCCCACCAGTGATAAATAAACAAACGCACGTTTTCCCCCAGTCACAACTCCACAAAACAAAATAATGTGAATAAATTATTCCACTCCACAGCTCCAGAAAATGTCAATGACACATCAGTTTCCTGCCAACCATTCCCAAATTAATCCGTGATAATTCAAACTAATGAGGAAGCGTCTCTCCCGCTAACACGACTGACGTGTCAAAGCAGCTGTCGCTTGTTGCGCTACAATGTTTTCACTATCGCAGACAATCTTCGGGTGATAACGATCCGCAACTGCACTGTTCAAACCTCTCGCCACATCACTCAGTCTGAACTCCCCCCCTCCAGGGTGC